TAGCTGCGCAGCTTTCGGATGAATCCGTGGAGGAAATCAGGTCTAAAGAGATAAACATGCCAGCCTGACAGAGCTGTTGGTAAAGGTTAAAAGAGCTGCATGCATGAACTAACTTGAGCTGCATGCACACTGCATGGAGCAGAGAGTTGGCTTTGTCTCCATGGGAAACTCACAGGTGTTGGTCGAAACATTAGCAATAGCTCTGCAGTGAATTAGCACGAAGAGTCTTGAACCTGGAACATTTAAATAGAATTAAGCTGATATCCTTTTTTTAGTTTGAAAAGTTGGTTTAGTTTAGTTTTCCCGACATTGGTTACCATTGTGATCTGTATTATTTTATCTATGCCTTCACAGTCACCGGGGTTCTTTGCCCAAGGATTAAGCCATTGGCGTTCCAATTGGCTGAGGCCAATCAATGTTCAGCCAATAGTAATGGCAAACGTTTTGACTTCTGCTAGCAGGGAAAGCGCAGGAAATACAAATTTTATTACAAATTTCAGTTATACTATGATCGTAATAGGGACGAGAGGCTGAGGCACGACTACAATGACTGTGAGCATGTGCAATGAACTCTTTTAAGCAACTTTGATGCGTCGAGATAGCGATAAAACAGCAGCCTACCAACCTGCTTTCAGTCCACTATCAGTTAGTGCACAGTGTTAGTGCATCAGTCAGTGATTTCATGGGGTTAATATAGTTTGGTTTTTTTTGTATTAATACAGCAAATATCAAATTGGCATAAATCCCAAATCTACACAGGTCCAAATAAACTCTCACAGATTTGAAACATAATTTTTTTCACCAACAGTGATGTTGTTGCTGCAGGTTGGCAAAGCAAAATGACATAAGTCCTCGTCAATCTACAACAACAAACAAGTCGCACTCATCCATTCAGACTGACTCAGGCTGATTGTATAAATTAGATGGTAGTTATTTTCTAACCTTTGCTAGTCTGTCTGAGAGTGATTGCAGCCAGTCTGAGTTGGACCATGATTGCTTGGAGACAGGTTGCCTCCCACCAGGTGACCTGTGGCGTCACTTTTATATCAAAGTTGCCCAGATGTTGAGGGTGTTGCACACTCAACCTCTGGGTGAATATTTCATTGTTGTAGCTACTTGCAATCAGTTGCATAAAAAAAAGAAATATATAGAAATCGATCAGTCTGTCAGTGTAATCACCAGTTGCCAGATCATTTTTACTGTGACTGAGCCTTTACATGAAGAAAAAGGTCTGCTATGTGACACATCCTCACACATAACCTCTTTCTATCAAAATAATTTTAAAACACTTTGCATTGGCTTCCTATATCATCTATATTCTGGACGGATCACAGATTGTAAGAAGGGAGCTAACAAGGAAGTAAAGCATTTGCTTCTACAACAACAACAACAACAACCTTTATTTATAGAGCACATTAAAAGCCTTAGGCATACCAAAGTGCTTTACAAAAAAACAATAAAATAATACAGTTAGTACTATGAAGCAGTATTTCTGTGAATGGCTTTCTGTTTAGCTTGGTTCTTGGCGTGCACTGCAGAATGCAAATGAGCATGCAGACTACAAAATGCACAGAAAACACTTCAACTGCTGGAAATCCAGTACACACCATAGTGATGTACTCAAGGATTTGAATGTGCACTAGGTAGGAAACATGAAACCAGAGCATCAAAGGAAATCTGATTAGCGGAGCTTTACGACAAAAAGACCCACGCTGGTGTTCGGGGTGCCGTTAAGTCTGTGTAATCGACACGTGTAGAAAATATGTTGTGTTGCACAAGTGAGCAGCTCTGACCTTTTATCTATCCAGTGGCAACATCCTATTAATCATCTAAAGCACATAGTTACAGGGTGACCTCAAATCACAGTCCTGGGTGGTTTAATTGCGAAGCAGCCTCATAAATAAAGAAAAGCTGAAAGAAGTGAACGGTGGGTGTTTATGGAGAGAACAAGGACGACGGGACAAGTGTCAGGACACCGCTTTCACTACAACTTTAATTAAAGCTCAAAATTGGGTTTTTGAAATGAATATGTTTACTTTTAGCCTTGGTAGGTTTTTTGTGCCTGTATAATCACCAGTTTTGCAACTAAATGCAATTGTTCATTTTTGGCGTAATGCTAGGTGATCTCAGAGTGCAGATCATGTCCACTGCTGTGACTTCCATCAGAGATTGGCAGACTTCCTGCAGAAGAGCAGCAGTTTAAAAAAAAAAGAAAGGGCAGAGGCTACCAACGAACCTTGAAATAGAAATATCGCGTAACAACGAGTCAAAGCAAGCTAGACAGCACAAACAAATGGAAGTATAGAAAGGCATCGATCAGTGAGTTCAAAAGCCTGCCGAGTAAATGCAAAGTGTTAAAGTGACTACGTGGGCTTAAAGGCAGCTGAGTAAACAGAGTCCTTATCATGGCTAACACATCGCAAAGAAACACACTTGTTCATATGTTAGCTGTCTGTTGGACATGATTGAGATCACAGCCATCAAACCAAGCAGAAATGCTCGTATATGTAACAGGACAGATTAAAGACTGACAATGTTCACGAACAGGAAAGTGTTCGGTGGACTTGCTGTGTCAAATCCAGCTGGCATCGGAGGGAAAGATGCTAAAATACAGTCTCTTTGTGTTCCACTTGTGAAAATCCAGCAGCTCCTGTATTTTCAGTAACGCAACCTCCTCGCAAGAGTTGCATCATAAATTCAAGAACTGAGTTCAGGTGTTAGAAATGCTTTTACAAAGTCTCTCACGTGAAAGTAAAGTGACACCGTACAAGACAAGCAAAGAATTCATTGTTCGCTTCCTGTTTAAATTGGTGTGGGGGTGTTTAAAGCCTTGTTAAGACCGTATTGCCGGCCCCGCTGTGAAACATTGAGATGTCTCGCACCCACACGAGAAAGGCGAGCGAAGAGGGGATTTTAGAAATATAATCATATACGTCTGGAAAAGCTTTAAGGTCTGAATCGTGTTGCTTTTGGTAAAACAGCTTGTCCCTTTTTGTCGGGAACAATGCTCGCAGCCGTGTTATAACAGAGGAGATTGTGTGAATAAATGCTGGTTGGTTTGTTCTTTATTTAAATCCAAGTAAAGCCACCAGCCAGCTAAATATATTCACACATAGATCCTCTCCATGAGCCCTGCAAGCCTCCCAAAGCCAAAGATCTGAGGAGGTTTGTTGTTCTAGCCTGCAGCTCCACATCGATCTATCAGAAACTTCACTGGTCCAGTTAATCACCTTATTCCTAGAGAGAGAGAGAGTGTGTGGGGGGGGGAGAGGGGGAGAAAAATTAAGTTGTATTAATCATGGGCCTCCAAGAGAGAGAGAGAGTGTGTGGGGGGGGGGGACAG